AAAAATCGAAACTCCTCCTGACAGGTTCACCGTGCGGACGTTCACCCATCGGGCGGCTACGGCAGGTACCTCAGAAAAACTCCAAGTGATGAATACCACGATAGGGAAGTGGTGAATCCTCAGTGTGCCCGTACTCAGGTAAGCGCAAACGTTATTGTAGTTGGGCAAATTAATCAATCTCATTCGCGGGCAACCGCTTTGCAGCTTACGTGAGGGATTCGCCTTCACCCCCCTAAAAGTATCGTCTCTGCAAAAATACACCTAGCTCGCGGTATTTTCACACCCAGTATTTTCACAGGGGGTACCGCCGAGAGGGTATTCATCCCCCGAAAGCAGCTCTTGAAGACAAGATCCGGATACCCTTGGAAAACAATTTGACACTGGGTTTCTATACGAAACGTTTACTGCTCGATTTAGTGTTTCTCAAGCCAGGAAACCCGATGACAGCTTATGCAATGCTCAAAGTTTTTGCCCGCATTGAGTCTGCCAAGCTTAGGCCGTAGGAACAAGGGGATAATGTCTGCGCACTCAGAAATGGTCAGGGTGGAAACAAAAATTCTTCTGCCGCCCAGTTTCAGGGTGTGAAATTACCGCGGGCTAGGTGTATGCTCCAAACTGTTGCAACAATTCTTCAATGCTGCTTCACGATAATAATCCCCGCAGGCCACTGTTCACCCATCACCCACGTTCACCGTTGTCCAAACAGTAATGCACACATTCCGCCGAAAACTCACAACTCCGTCGATCTCGGCGACGCATCCTCGCCGTGAGTATCGATCGTCGTCGCAAAACTCCTTCGGTTTTTTCGTTAATTTGCTTTGCGCGCCTCCCACTGTACAGCTTCCGATTTTCACAAATCGTTCGCATGTAGTGTAGCGCCCAAAACATTTCTTCCTCGATCCACTAGGACAGGGTGATCGGCAAGCTCATCCTCCTCATTCGTCCGGGAGCGGTCGATAGCATGTATCGTATACCAATCCCGCGCCATTCTCTCATTTCGCTGTAGCTTGTCGTGTTCTGTGCTGTAGCTTGTCGATTGCGCAACTGGGTCTTGTCATATGCGTCACTATAGCTCGTCATGTGCGCAAGTGTAGCGCGGCTCGAGAAGATGCTGGGTGAGAAAATAACGCGGGATAGGTGTACTACCACCCGGTGGAGATGCTGAAAATTGGGCGACGAAGCCAAGTCAGTCGGGGGATCCGTCTGCAACATTTCACTGCCGTTGGTCCTTTGAGGTGACCCCGTGGAGACACTGAAGGAAATACCCCTTGGGTAGGTCTTCGTCTTCCTCCGTTGATCGTGGAGAGCAATTTTTCTGACCACGTAAAGAATTTCGTTGCGGGGAAACTGCTCTCGCTGAGCTCGTACAGTAGCTCCAAAGCAGACGAAATCGCTGCTCCAGGCGGTCAGGTCATGCGAAAATCCGAGGTTTGCCGTCCTCCGATTGCTCCGTGCTTGAGCCCCACTTGTTGTACGTGCGATATTGGTCATGCCGAAAATTCCAACTGCATGTCCTTAAAGCCCAGGTCCCAAGTTACAAGCCGCAAAAAGAGAGCGCGGCTTGGGTTGGGGCTAGTGGCTTGCGATTGGCTGCGGGAATGGCGAGAGCTCAAAGTCTGGAAATCGGTTTGCGAAACTAGCAAATGCAAATTTGAAGTTCGCTAACCAAAACTCCAAGGAGGTTGGGGAAGGAAAACAAGTGAAGCACAACAGATGGTCGACAGCAACACAGCAGCACACAAACTAAGCTAACGCGTCACAGCATCAACCAGCCACAACACAGCGGCAAACACGCAGAAGGCATTTCCGCAGCCCATACGCATGCAATATCGAGACTTCTGGTAGGGTGGTGTTCTTTTTTTCCCAGAAAATCAGAGTAGGCTCGCACCCAGTCTATTTCTCCGCGGATATCAATAAATTATCGCGCGCAGGCCTTCTATCGGTGGATATCTTTTGCGCCAGTCTAATATCGGTGGATCGCAAAATGGCTCGCCATTTGAGTTAAGCGTACGTGTTCACCTAGGCGTAGCGGGGATATGTGAGAGCAAACGTAAAGTCGGCTAGCAATGGCGCTGAAAATAGAGCGAGAGGCAGCGCTACTCCAGTTAGGCCATTTTACCAATAGAAACGACCGCCCAGAGGCATATCCGAGACGCATCCACGACCGACGGCGCAGGGCGAGAGAGAGGGGGATGCAGAGCTAGTGAGAGGGAGCAGGGAGGGAGGTAGCAGGGAGGGAGGTAGCAGGGAGGGAGGGAGCAGGGAGGGCGGGAGCAGGGAGGGAGGGAGCAGGGAGGGAGGGAGCAGGGAGGGAGGGAGCAGGGAGGGAGGGAGCAGGGAGGGAGGGAGCAGGGAGGGAGGGAGCACAGGATGAGAAACATGGGAAGGACATTCAGGGAAAAGACAGGGTACATTCATGCACCTTTTCATGCCCACACATACGAAAGCTTACCCATATCCAGGCCCACACAAACCCTTCCAATGCAAAACCCGAGCAGGGAAGAGCGGAGCGGGCAGTCGGGAAGCAGCAGGGAAGCACAGAGCAGGAGAGGCAAGCCAGTAGCGGGCCGCAGCGGGGAGCGGGAAAGCGGGAAGCTAGAAGTGGGCAGCAGGACGCGGCGGGAGGCGGGAAGCGGGCAGCTGCAACCTGCCTCCTTACCTTCCTGCCCTCCTTACCTTCCTGCCCTCCTTACACTCCTGCTCTCATGCCTCACTCCCTCCCTGCTCTCATGCCTCACTCACTCACTCCTGCTCTCATGCCTCACTCCCTCCCTGCTCTCATGCTCCCCCTCCTTCCCTGCTCTCATGCTCCCCCTCCCTCCCTGCTCTCATGCTCCCCCTCCCTCCCTGCTCTCATGCTTCCCCTCCCTCCCTGCTCTCATGCTTCCCCTCCCTCCCTGCTCTCATGCTCCCCCTCCTTCCCTGCTCTCATGCTCCCCCTCCCTCCCTGCTCTCATGCTCCCCTCCCTCCCTGCTCTCATGCTCCCCCTCCTTCCCTGCTCTCATGCTCCCCCTCCCTCCCTGCTCTCATGCTCCCCCTCCCTCCCTGCTCTCATGCTTCCCCTCCCTCCCTGCTCTTATGCTTCCCCTCCCTCCCTGCTCTCATGCTCCCCCTCCTTCCCTGCTCTCATGCTCCCCTCCCTCCCTGCTCTCATGCTCCCCCTCCCTCCCTGCTCTCATGCTTCCCCTCCCTCCCTGCTCTCATGCTCCCCCTCCCTCCCTGCTCTCATGCTCCCCCTCCCTCTCTGCTCTCATGCTCCCCCTCTCGCATCCACATGCTCTCCTCCCCTCGCTCTCCTCTCCCCTGCTCTCACCCCTCTCCGCCATCCCTTCTCTCCTGGTCCGCCTCTCTCCCTCCCCTGCAACTTTCCTCACTCCCCTGCTCTACCGCCTCTCCCCATCCCCTGTTCTCACTCCTCTCCCCATCCCCTGCTCACACTCCCTCTCCCCCTCCCCTGCCCTCCCTCCTCTCCCCTTTCCCCACGTTCACTTCTCTCCCCCTCCCCTGCTCTCACTCTTCTCCCACTGCCCTGCCCTCACTCCTCCCCCCCTCCCCTGCTCTCTCTACTCTCCCCCTCCCCTGCTCTCTCTCCTCTCCCCTTTCCTCCCGTTCACTCATCTCCCCATGCCCCTCAATCCCTCTCTCCCTCCCCACCTCGCACTCCTCTATCCCTCCCCTGTTCGCAAACCTCTCCCCCTCCCCTGCTGCCCCATCCCCTGCTCACACTCCCTCTCTCCCTCCCCTGCCCTCACTCCTCCCTCCCTCCCCTGCTCACACTCCCTCTCTCCCTCCCCTGCCCTCACTCCTCCCTCCCTCCCCTGCTCTCACTCCTCTCCCCCTCCCCTGCTCTCACACCCTCTCTCCCTCCCCACCTCGCACTCCTCTCTCCCTCCCCTTCTCGCACTCCTCTCTCCCTCCCCTGCTCTCACTCCTCTTCCCCTCCCCTGCTCCCACTTTTCTCCCCCCCCGCGCTCTCACTCCTCCCCCCTCCCCGGCTCTCACTCCCTCTCTCCCTCTCCTGCCCTCTCTCCTCCCTCCCTCCCCTGCTCGCACTCCTCTCTCCCTCCCCTGCTCGCACTCCTCTCCCCCTCCCCTGTTCTCATTCCTCTTCCCCTCACTTGCTGTCACTCCCTCTCTCCCTCCCCTGCTCTCACTCCCTCTCACCCTCCCATGCCCTCTCTCCTCCCTCCCTCCCCTGCTCACACTCCTCTCCCCCTACTCTGCTCTCTCTCATCTTCCCTGTCCCAAAGTTCACTCCTCTCCCCTTCCCTTGCGCTCACTCTTCTCCCTTCCCCTGCTCTCACACCTACCCCCCTCCCCTGCTCTCACTCCTCTCCAACTGCCCCTGCCCTCACTCCTCTTCCCCTCGCCTGCTCTCACTCCCTCCCTCCCTCGCTGCTTTCACTCCTATCTCCCTCTCCTGCTCGCACTCCTCTCCCTCTACCCTGCTCTCTCTCCTCTCCCCTTACTCCACTCTCACCCCTCTCCCCTTCCCTCGCTCTCCCGCCTCTCCCCCTCACCTGCTCTCACTCGTCTCTCTCACCCCTGCCCTTACTCTCATCCCTCTCCCCTTTCCCCTTCCGCTGCCCCTGCTCTCCCTCCCGCGCTCACGCTGCTCCGTCCCGCGCGATCAAGCCGCTCTCCCTCCCGCGCTCACGCTGCTCCCTCCCGCGCGATCACGCCGCTCTCCCTCCCACGCGATCACGCCGCTCTTCCCGCGCGCTCACGCCGCTCTCCCTCCCGCGCGCTCACGCCCCTCTCCCTCCCGCACGCTCACGCGCTCTCCCTCCCGCGCGCTCTTTCCGCTCTCCCTCCCGCGCGCTCACTCCGCTCTCCCTCCGGCGCTCACTTCGCTCTCCCTCCCGCGAGCTCACTCCGCTCTCCCTCCCGCGCTCACTCCGCGCTCCCTCCAGCGCACGCACTCCGCTCTCCCTCCCGCGCGCTCACTCCGCTCTCCCTCCCCTGCCCTCGGTGCTTCCTCCATGCTTTCGCCTCAGCCACTCTGTGCTATCGCGTCACTTGGTAGGTTCTGTCGCGTCTCTCCGTCCCTGCTATCGCGTCTCTCCGTCCCTGCTCCCACGTCACTTCGTCCCTCGGGATGAATTATGCGCGGTTCGCAATGCCTAGCCGGTCGTCGCGGGATCTGCGTCATTATCGCTATCATTCCTTAAGGCGCGCAGTTTCGTCTAGGCTTGGCTACGCGCGCAAGAAACCTCGTATGCTGGCTAGTTTCTAGTCAGTAGTCAGTCTCGCCTGGATCCCAATATACAACAAGGCTCGACGCCCAAGCGTCGGAAGGGTTGCGTAGTCTATAGATTTCCAATGTGTAGAATCTTAAGAATAATACAGTTGGTACGACGTTTAAATTTACATTTCATATTAAAGTTCATAATTGTGTAAGTTGTGAGGAATAAATTATTTGATTGGGAATCAAATTTTCTCGTAATAATATTATAAATAATTATATTTAAATAATGATATATATGATACTACAAAGAGTATATATGATTCTTTATGGTCTGGATGGGAGAAAATGTACAAATGTAATTTATATCGTATTACAATGAGCGTGTTGAGCACAATACATGCTTTTCACCTTTGTCTAGGTCACATCAAGGGTTTATTAATATAAATATATACATATACTGATATAATATGGATATTAATCTAATGATATTCACATACTGGTTTTCGCATAATGATGGTTTTGACGTATGTATTATATTGACATGAATATACTTATATATTGATTAAATTAATTTAACTATATACATATAATGATATCATGCTTATATTCATATAATGATTTTGACATTCTTCTGTAGCCTCATCATTATAGCATTAGGCTGTAACACGCTGGATTTGGCATCCAAGCACGTGACGAAGCCGAAACTACGCAAGAAACCTGCTTGTTCCTGTTCAATGAATTATTGACGAAACATTCTGAAGCCTAATCATTACGGGGTGAGGTACCTCAAGTATCGCATGTGGTGTCACAAGCTTGTACCAGCTTGAAGTCGAAACCGGCAACTACAGTACCTGAGAAACCTGACTACAGTACCTCGTGTTCTGTACAGTACAAACAACAAAACGCGCATCGGGATGGGGTTTACGTTTCTTGCTTCGTCGTTCATGTGCGTTTCTCCCTTCCTCCTCCCAACGCGTATTTTTGTTTCCTGCTCCTCGTGCGTTTCTCGTTCAGACATTCATTCATCTCAATTAGCTTTTCAGCTTTCCTCACATTCCTTCTCACAAGCTTTCCAGACTTTCAAGTTTCCATCAGCTTATTTACCTGGTAAGTGTAGAACCGCTAGGCGCGTTTCCTTAGAGCTGGCGCTGGCGCTGGCTCTAGCGCTAAGCATTTGGCGCTGGTGCTGGCGCTGGTCGCACTGGCGCTGGCGATTTGGCGCCGGGCGCTGGCGTTTTGGCGCTGGCGCTGGCGTTTTGGCGCTAGCGCTGGCGCTTTGGCGCTGGCGCTGGCGCTGGCGCTTTGGCGCTGGCGCTGGCGCTTTGGCGCTGGCGCTGGCACTGGCATTTCGGCGCTGGCATTTTGGCGCTGGCGATTCGGCGCTGGCGCTGGTGACTTGGCGCTGGTCCTGGCGCTGGCGCTGGTACTGGCACTGGCGAATAGGCGCTAGCACCGGCGCTGGCGCTGGCGAGGATTCGTCGTCCCCCTCCTTTCCTCCCCCTTTGCCGTCCCCCTCCGTTCCTACCCTTTGTCGTCCCCCCTCCGTTCCCCCCCTTTCTCGTCCCCCTCGGCCCCTCCCACTTTGTCGTCCCCATTCCGTTCCCTCCCCTTTGTCGTCCTCCCTCCGTTCCCCCCCCCCTTTGTCGTCCCCCCTCCGTCCCTCCCCCTTTGTCGTCCCCCCTCCGTTCCTCCCCTTTGTCGTCCCCCCTGCGTTCCCCTCCCTTGGCCGTCCCCCCGCCTTTCCTTCCCCTTTGTCGTCCCCACTCCGGTCCCCCCCCCTTGGTCGTCCCCTCTCCGCCCCTCCCCCTTTTGGCGTCCCCCTCCGCCCCTCCCCCTCAGTCGTCCCCCCTCCCTCCCTCCCCGTTTGTCGTCCCCTTCCGTTCCTCCCCCTTGGCCGTCCCCCCTCCGTTCCTCCTCCTTGGCCGTCCCCCTCCGTTCCCCCCCCCTCGTCGTCCCCCCTCCGCCGCTCCCCTTTGTCGTCCCCCCTCCGACCCTCCCCCTTGCCGTCCCCCCTCCGTTCCTCCCCCTTTGTCGTCCCTCCTCCGCTCCTCCCCCTTTGCTGTCCCCCTCCGTTCCTCCCCTTTGCTGTCCCCCTCCGTTCCTCCGCCTTTGCTGTCCCCCCTCCGTTCCTCCCCCTTTGTCGTCCCCCCTCCGTTCCTCCCCTTTGTCGTCCCCCTCCGTTCGCCCCCCTTGGCCGTCACCCCTCCTTTCCTACCCCTTTGTCGTGCCCACTCCGTTCCCCCCCCCTTGGTCGTCCCCTCTCCGCTCCTCCCCCTTTTGTCGTCCCCCCTCCGCCCCTCCCCCTCAGTCGTCCCCCCTCCATCCCTCCCCGTTTGTCGTCCCCCCTCCGTTCCACCTCCTTGCCGTCCCCCTCCGTTCCCCCCCCCTCGTCGTCCCCCCTCCGCCGCTCCCCCTTTGTCGTCCCCCGTCCGACCTCCCCCTTTGCCGTCCCCCTCCGTTCCTCCCATTTGTCGTCCCCCTCCGTTCCTCCCTCTTTGCCGTCCCCCCTCCGTTCCTCCCCCTTTGTCGTCCCCCCTCCGTTCCTCCCCCTTTGCCGTCCCCCCTCCGTTCCTCCCCCTTTGTCGTCCCTCCTCCGTTCCTCACCCTTTGTCGTCCCCCCTCCGTTCCCCGCCCTTTGCCGTCCCCCTCCGTTCCTCCTCGCTTTGCCGTCCTCCCTCCGTTTCCCCCCTTTTCTCATCCCCACTCCGCCCCCCCCCTTAGTCGTCCCCCCTCCGTTCCTCCCCCTTTGCTGTCCCCCCTCCGTCCCTCCCCCTTGGCCGTCCCCCTCGTTCCTCCCCCTTTGCTGTCCCCCCTCCGTTCCTCCCCCTTTGCTGTCCCCCTCCATTCCTCCCCTTATGCTGTCCCCCCTCCGTTTCTCCCCCTTTGCTGTCCCCCATCCGTTTCTCCCCCTTTGCTGTCCCCATCCGTTTCTCCCCCTTTCCTGTCCCCCATCCGTTTCTCCCCCTTTGTTGTCCCCCCTCTGTTCCTCCCCTTTTGCTGTCCCCCCACCGTTCCTCCCCCTTCGCTGTCCCCCCTCCCGTTCCTCCCCTTTCCGTCCCCCCTCCGTTCCTCCCCCTTTGCTGTCCCCCATCCGTTTCTCCCCCTTTGCTGTCCCCCCTCCGTTCCTCCCCCTTTGCTGTCCCCCTCCGTTCCTCGCCCTTTGCTGTCCCCCCTCCGTCTCCCCCTTTGCTGTCCCCCCTCCGTTCTTCCCCGTTTGCTGTCCCCCTCCGTTCCTCCTCCTTTTGCTGTCCCCCCTCCCCCATCCGTTTCTCCCCCCCTTTGCTGTCCCCCATCCGTTTCTCCCCCTTTTTGTCCCCCCTCCGTTCCTCCCCTTTGCTGTCCCCCTCCTCCCGTTCCCTCCCCCCTTTGCTGTCCCCCCTACGTTCTTCCCCCCTTTGCTGTCCCCCTCCGTTCCCCCCTTTGCTGTCCCCCCTCCGTTCCTCCCCTTTGCTGTCCCCCCTCCCGTTCCTCGCCCTTTGCTGTCCCCCTTCGGTTCCTCCCCCTTTGCTGTCCCCCCTCCGTTCCTCCCCCTTTGGCTGTCCCCCATCCGTTTCTCCCCCTTTGCTGTCCCCCCTCCCGTTCCTCCCCCTTTGCTGTCCCCCCACCGTTCCTCCCCCCTTTGCTGTCCTGCCTCCGTTCCTCCTCCTTTGCTGTCCCCCCTCCGTTCCCTCCCCCTTTGCTGTCCCTCCTCCGTTCCTTCCCTTTGCTGTCCCCCCTCCGTTCCTCCCTTTGCTGTCCCCCCTCCGTTCCTCGCCCTTTGCTGTCCCCCTCGGTTCCTCCCCCTTTGCTGTCCCCCTCCTTCTCCCCCTTTGCTGTCCCCCATCCCGTTTCTCCCCCTTTGCTGTCCCCCTCCGTTCCTCGCCCTTTGCTGTCCCCCATCCGTTCCTCCCTTTGCTGTCCCCCCTCCGTTTCTCCCCTTTGCTGTCCCCCCTCCGTTTCTCCCCCTTTGCTGTCCCCCCTCCGTTACTCCCCTTTGCTGTCCCCCATCCGTTTCTCCCTTCTTCCCCCTCTTTGCCTGTGCCCCCCTCCGTTCCTCCCTTTGCTGTCCCCCCTCCGTTCCTCCCCTTTGCTGTCCCCCTCCGTTCTCCCCTTTGCTGTCCCCCTCCGTTTCTCCCCTTTGCTGTCCCCCTCCGTTCTCCCCCTTTGCTGTCCCCCTCCGTTTCTCCCCCTTTGCTGTCCCCCTCCGTTCCTCCCCTTTGCTGTCCCCTCCGTTCCTCCCCTTTGCTGTCCCCTCCGTTCTCCCCCTTTGCTGTCCCCCTCCGTTCCTCCCCTTTGCTGTCCCCCTCCGTTCTCCCCCTTTGCTGTCCCCCTCCGTTCCTCCCCCTTTGCTGTCCCCCTCCGTTCCTCCCCTTTGTGTCCCCCTTCTTCCTCCCCTTTGCTGTCCCCCTCCGTTCTCCCCCTTTGCTGTCCCCTCCGTTCCTCCCCTTTGCTGTCCCCCCGTTCCTCCCCCTTTGCTGTCCCCCTCCGTTCCTCCCCTTTGCTGTCCCCCGTTCCTCCCCCTTTGCTGTCCCCCTCCGTTCCTCTCCCTTTGCTGTCCCCCCTCCGTTCCTCCCCTTTGCTGTCCCCCTCCGTTCCTCCCCTTTGCTGTCCCCCCTCGTTCCTCCCCCTTTGCTGTCCCCCTCCGTTCTCCCCCTTTGCTGTCCCCATCCGTTTCTCCCCTTTGCTGTCCCCCATCCGTTTCTCCCCTTTGCTGTCCCCCTCCGTTCCTCCCCCTTTGCTGTCCCCCCGTTCCTCCCCTTTGCTGTCCCCCTCCGTTCTCCCCCTTTGCTGTCCCCCTCCGTTCCTCCCCCTTTGCTGTCCCCCTCCGTTCCTCCCCCTTTGCTGTCCCCCCGTTCCTCCCCCTTTGCTGTCCCCCTCCGTTTCTCACCCTTTGCTGTTCCCCATCCGAAATAATCTTCTACGGTTGCAGATTTTTGTATAAATTTGTGTTTACGGTCTAAGTGCACGCTATTTGCTCTTCCTGTTATGCCTATGCTTGTTGGATTTTGCAGATAGTCCATATTTCGAAGATTCGTTTTGGGTCACGTTTCGTGTGAGCGCTCGTGTACGTAATTGTTAATCCATAATAAAATTAATGGTAGCTTTTAGAATCAATTGTGATTTGGGTATAGCTAAAGGAAGGAGTTCACGAGGCGAAATGTGCTTGTTGGTGAAATTGTCTTTATTGTATTTATGAACCATGGCATATTGTTCGTCATGAAAATAGCAGCAGGGTATTGTGGTTATGTGTAACCTTTGGTTTGGTACTTTGCCTAATTTAGGTGCACAAAAAAGTTGTCATAAGATGTGTCACTCCTTTCACAAATCTCGCATTCAAGCATTTCATATTTCCAAGGAATAATTTGTGCTCGTCATCACAGCATCACTGTGGTTGCTTTGCAATGTCTCCGCATATCTTGTTCTCCGTCTCCCTCTCCTATTTTCTCCTCTCAATATCACTCCCTTTCTTTCGTCTCTCTCTCTCTCTCTCTCTCTCTCTCTCTCTCTCTCTCTCTCTCTCTCTCTCTCTCTCTCTCTCTCTCTCTCTCTCTCTCTCTCTCTCTCTCCTGTTTTTGCGCTCTCTCAACATCACTTGCTCTCTTTCACACTCACACTCAACCCTTCAATCACTTTTCCCCCGCAGTCCTTATTCGTCCGAATCTACAAAACGCCACTGCAACACGGCTTGTGCCTTGCAACTTCTACGTACGTATCATTTCCTTCCTTCTAGCTTTCACCCCTTTCATTCCTCTTCTCAACTTCTCTCTCAAAATGTCCCTCTTTCTTTTGCTCTCTCAGTTTCTCCATTTTTTCCTCTCTCTCTCAATACAAATACCTCTTCTTCAATCTCACGTTACTCCCTATCTCTCTCTATATCTCTCTCAATGTCTCTATCTCTCTCTCTCTCTCTCTCTCTCTCTCTCTCTCTCTCTCTCTCTCTCTCTCTCCTCTCTCTCTCTCTCTCTCTCTCTCTCTCCTCTCTCTCTCTCTCTCTCTCCTCTCTCTCTCTCTCTCTCTCTCTCTCTCTCTCTCTCTCTCTCTCTCTCTCTCTCCTGTTTTTGCGCTCTCTCAACATCACTTGCTCTCTTTCACACTCACACTCAACCCTTCAATCACTTTTCCCCCGCAGTCCTTATTCGTCCGAATCTACAAAACGCCACTGCAACACGGCTTGTGCCTTGCAACTTCTACGTACGTATCATTTCCTTCCTTCCAGCTTTCACCCCTTTCATTCCTCTTCTCAACTTCTCTCTCAAAATGTCCCTCTCTCTTTTTCGCTCTCTCAGTTTCTCCATTTTTTCCTCTCTCTCAATACAAATACCTCTTCTTCAATCTCACGTTACTCCCTATCTCTCTCTATATCTCTCTCAATGTCTCTATCTCTCTCTCTCTCTCTCTCTCTCTCCTCTCCTCTTCTCCTCTCCTCTCTCTCTCTCTCTCTCCTCTCTCTCTCTCTCTCTCTCTCTCTCTCCTCCTCTCCTCTCCTCTCTCTCTCCT